TTTATATTATTTTTCAATGCAAATAACCTTAAACACACATGATTTCATTCAAGTTACATTCATGTTAATTATATCATGGGCTAAGTATGTATTTAGGCTTCTGTGAGCTAGTCTAAGAAACCAAAATGAGCATTAATAACATTGGTCCATTAGTTCTGATCCACGTTTTACCACTAGCTCCAGAGAGTAGCATAGGTCTGTCTAGGCCTTTGTAATAGATTACATGATCTTCAACTCAGTCTTTTCTCTTTGGTCCACAGCTTCATTTTTGTAATGAAGATGTGGAATAGTAAAAAATTTACTGCTGGTTCTTTTTGAAATGCGTTATACTGACGTTGTGAATGTATTCAACTAAAACATCTTGTTTCCACAGACTATAGCTTTCCGTTAGGTAAGAATCATGTTTTACATTTTCCTTGGGAGCTCAGTAAATTCAGCTTGATTCAGGGGGTGGGAGGATATTTGAAAAAGATACAAAAATGTGGAAGAATTTGATCAAACTTACATAGTAAACTTGGATCAGACATGAGAACTAGACTCCTTATCTCCAAAGTTTCAGTAGATGAATCCCTCCCTCTCCTACCTAGTCCCTTCTCCATACACTCTCCCAGCACTTTGTACACACATATCTTAAATATCTACCTACATTAAAAGTTAAGTCTATAACTGAAACATCTTCATATCCCCCACAACGTTTGGCATAAAACTTAAATGCTTGCATGAGAGAATTCTCCAGAAAGCTGTCTTTCAATGAAGCCAGTTAGAAAATGCATCCTCTGATAAATCTGTATAAACTAGCTCATTCTAAGCCTTGCTCTGACCCCCACCACTACAGGGGGTGGGGCAAGCCAAAGGACATGTTACAGGAAGAAATTTTCCAGATTTAAGCCTACACATTTTGGCAAGATCTAAAGCAGTGTTCATAAATGAGGGAAAAAATAAAAGAATGCACTAGTTTCCAAGAACTCCGCTAAAAAAACAGGGCGGCAGGGGGAACAGAGCTGTGAAACAGGTTTAAAATTGGGAAAGAGAAGGTCTAGTTTTAAAAGTGCTACCTTTCTAAAGATGTGGATGGATTCTGACCCACCAGAAATCCACAATACAGCGCACCAAAAATAGAAGAGGTTAAACTTTTGCAGGTGTATGGAAACAGGAGCGCATCGAAAAATCAAGGGTGGTGGTTTGGGATTCTCAAGGTACAGATGGGGGGCGCGTGGGGAGAAAAGGACAAGGTAGGGAAGGAAGGAATCGCTGTAACTAGACCCATGAGGAAAAGAAAACGAGTAAAAACGCCAGTGGAAGAAAAATCAGAGGGTGAAAATAGGGAGGGAAAGCAGGGAAAGAGCCCAGGAATGAGGGCTAGCAGAAGAAAGGTGGGGGAAGGGGCGAAGGTCCAAACAGGGCGGGGGCGCGACGCGTCGTTCTACAGCCCTAGGCAGGGTGTGCGAAGTCCACCCCTGCCCTCCCCGGCGGTACAGACCTGTTGGTATGGAAGCGGTGGAGCGGGTCGGTGCGATGGCAGGAGGAGAGCTGGCAGCCGAAATCGCTGATGTCCAGGCAGCCCGGCTCCTCGCTGTGACAGGTGCCCACTCCGCGAGGGGGTCCCAGGAGTGGGAAAGGTTCTTCGGGGGTTAGAAACTTCTCGTAGGAAGTGGTGGCCGACGCCTCGTCGGACATAGTTGGAGATGGCCTGACTCGGGCTCTTTCTCTGGCCTTGGGCTGCTCCCGCACCCGCCCCTGCGCCCAATCTAACCTGTATGATAGCGCCGCCGCTCAGGAGGTGAGCCCGACGCAGCTTACTGGCTCCCTAAGAGTCACGGCCCACTGTTGCCCAGGGACTGCAGGCAGGGAGTGCAGGGTCGTTCGAAGAAGCTGCTCGAGGGCACAGCGGCCCGCCGGTCACCGAGTCCACGCCTCACTGGCCTCTGCAGCCTACGCCGCAGCCGCCCGGCCCAGCCAGTCAGCGCAGCGCCGCCACCCGCACCGGCGGGCCCCACCCACTGCGCTCACTGCTTGCGACTGCCGCAGTCAGCCGGACGCCTGCCTGGAGAGGAAGGGTAGTAGGGAGCCGCTTCACCTGCCCCCTGCTGGAGCGGAGGAGGAACTGAGGCTGCAGCCCCATGTGCCCCGCCCCACCTTCTACGCATAGAATCAGGGATTCCGGCGTTGTAAAGGCTGACACCTTAAACCAACTTCGTCTCTGCTTTCCTGCTCGCACCTGGTTACTAAACAGCAACCACAACCCGGAGAAAAAAAGAGTTGGCCAAGGTCACACTGCGGGTGCGAGAGAAAGAATCCAGATGGACTTGTTCCCAGCACGCTCCATCACCCTCAGTTCAACAAGTATTTATTGAGCCTCTGCAGCGTGTGTGCCCAGCACTGAGCAATGAACTGAAGGAGAAACGAGCCCAGTAGGAAAAAAATAGTCCCTACCTCACCCTTAATCACTTCATTTCGAGAATGCTACTCTCCAGCCACCAGGCTACTGGGACGTGCAGGACATGTAGTGATCTTTTGTGCTGTTTTCACTAGCTCACATTATGCACTCTGTTTGGAATACCTTGCCATTTCTTTCCTGCTAATTTTTGAAGCCCCAGAGCAAAAGCTCCCTCCTAGGTGAAACCTTCCTTGACTCCCAGGGAGACTTGGATATTCCCCTCTTACTCCCTGAAAACCCACATTCCCCAGTTGAAAATGTGGAACTTAACTTGTTCAGTTCAAATCAACTTACTAGGTGCCATATACTGTTCTTTACTCTTACTATTCTTTTCTCTATATTCTAGACAAGCACTTCCAATCTCGGATGAATATTTTTTAAAAATATTCAGAGGAACTGGGGCCAAGGATGTAGCTCAGTGGTGCTGTGCCTGCCTGACAAGCCCAACGAAGGTCCTGAGTTTGATTCCCAGTACAAAGAAAGAAAGAAAGAAAGAAAGAAAGAAAGAAAGAAAGAAAGAAATTCAGAGGAAAACCCAACATTTTCAATTTCTCATTTTATAAAATGAAGAAAAACTTTAGCACAGCCCACTATTTATAATATTAAAACATTTATTTTCATATAAAATAAGGACATAGTCTTTCAATAAAACTATTTGAATTAAATATATTTAATTTTACAGAAAAACTCTTTACATTGATCCTAGTGAGAAGCATATAACTAAAATAGGTGGAAGGAAGTGGAAAGAATCCAGGAGCAAGAGGAGAAAGGGGGCACAATAAATGAAGAACTGTTACATAAATAGGCTGTACTCCAATGTTAAACTCTATGCCCTGCCCTATCAACATAACTTATAATGAAAACACCTGCTCTCAAATACTCCCTTTAAATTTATGTATAGTTATCCCTGGGAATCTGTAGAATATTGATCTGAGGACCCCTAAAAATAGGAAAATCTGTGGATTCTCAAATTCCTTATATAAAATGACATAGTATCTACATATAACTCATGCACAATTCCCCATATATTTAAATCATCTCTAGATTATAAGAGGCAATGCAATGTAAATACTATGAAAATAGAAGTTATACTGTTATTATGGTTTTGGTCTAAAATGCTCTCCCAAAGTCTCATGTGTTTGGAAGGGTGTATTCTTGTCACTGGCTCCTCCCTGTTCTCTCTACCTCCTGGCTGCCATGAGATGAGTAGCTGTCCCCTACCAGGTCCTTCAACCAGGCCATTTCTGCCTTGGAGCCAGCCAACTATGCACTGAACCCACTGGAAACAGTGAGCCCAATAAATCTCTCCTTTTGGGGCAAAGGAGAAGGAAGTGGGAGGGCTAGGGGAAAGGATAGAAGGGAATGGGATTAATATGAGAAAATGGAAAAATAGGAACAAAATCTTTGTAAATAGGGAGGAATGGAGGGGTTGAAGGGAGGGCTGGGCAAGGGTGAAAAATAAGAACCAAGAGAGACTATGTAACGGTGCAAATTTCCAATGATGAATGTCATTATATTGTATACCTAAAATGTACCAATGATTAGAATGAATAATCGACAATGTAAAATAGGAAGAAAAGGTCCAAAGGGGTAGGGGTAGTGGGAGGGGCAGGGGAAAGGAAAAATGATGAGAAATGGAAAAAATGGAAATAAAGTCTTTGTAAATAGGGAAGGGTGGAGGGCATGAAGGGAGGGCTAGGAATGGGCAAAAAACAAGAACCAAGATGCATTATGTAAAGGTACAATTTCCAATGAGAAATGTAATTGTATTGTATACCTACAATGTACCAATAAAAGAATTTAATACAAAAAAAATCTCTCCTTTTGTTATTCTAGAAAGGAAGCACCTACAAAAGTGCGGCCATGGAGAGCACAGTTGCTGAAAAGATTAGCATTCAAAACATGCCAGGTACTTTGCATTAGGACAATAGGAAACATTTGTACCAGCTATGGGAGTGTAACTAATGAAGAAAATCCATACCAAAGAAATGTGGTCCTTGCTGTGACTATACTTGAGTACGTGGTTTAGAAGCCTTTGGAAACAGTTTGTGGGAGTTTTAAATGGTTTGAAGATACTGGCTAAAGAAGCCCTGTGATTCTGCAAAAGTCAAGGAATGAAGTCACAAACCAAAGAAGGTTAGGAGAGTTCTTATTGGCAATAATAGGAAGAACAGCTCCTGGATTTCCAGGACGGTTTCCAAGTGGTTAGCCATTCAGCCTCTCAATCTAGTGATTTATAGATAAGCAAGCCATAGGAATTGCTTGTTTAGTGACCACCTATCACAGGTGACTCTGTGAAGTTAAAATTGACCAAATGGAACTCAGGCTGTCCTAACCCAGTTTTTTCACATGTAGGGTATACAGGAAACTGGGATATTAGGAAAAACTGGTTATTTCACATTATAATTTCCTCAGAACGCAGAAACTTAGCAGGGAGTGACTGCATCTCCCTTTAGGAGGGAATGGGTTGCATTCCATTTTGCCTAAGGAAGTTCATTCGTGGTCCAAAGTGCTAGTTCACTGTATATTTTTATTTAAATCCCCACAGGTATGGCTGATTACCAAACTCTATCTCAGGCCCTTACCCTTGCTAGCTGACTCACTCATAACCTAATTAAATAAACTGTTTTCTACAGCCCTACAGTGCTGTAAAGAGATCTTGACTGGAGATTCTTGTCAGAGTTCAGAAGACTAGGACACTCATAGAAATGCAGACAGTTGAAGGCCAGATTTAGGAGGTTTCAGTTGGAAACAAGGACTCCATTGGTATTTGGGCTAGGGGCCAGTGTGTTATATTCTGGCAGAAGATTTGTCTTCATTTGGCCCTTGTCTTGAGATTTTGCAGGGGGCTGAGATTAAGGGCAATGAACCAACTGTTCTGGCAGAGAAAATTTCAAATTGGGCCAATGTTCTGACTTGTGGCATTGGTACTGCTGGCTGCTTTTAGCCAGATCTATAGTGAGAATCATGAGCAAAAAGCAAATGTGGAAAGTTTGAGATTTTATCAGAAAGAAAGCAAGTGCCTGCAAAGGTGGGGCCATGCAAAGCCTGCTTGCTGAAATGATTAGCATTAAAAAGAACCCAGGTGGGCCAGGGGTTTACCTTAGTGTTTAAGCTCAAAAGCTCAAGGTCCACAGTTTGTTCCCAGGTACCAAAAAAAAGGACCCAAGTACTTTGCATTAGGAGATATGGCTTGAAGACATCTCAGGATTTGGCTAGACTCTAACCTCCACGGGCTCAAAGGTACAAAAAAGAAAATACCTTTGAAAGACTTTGCTTTGAGAAAAGAGCCCCAAGCCACCCTATTCTAGAAGGGTTGTCTAGGGAATTGGTTCCCTAAGATTTATTTCACAATGCCCAGCCACCCTGGCACTGAGAGGTTCCTACAGCCTTTACCCAAGGGCCCAAGCTACTGGTTGAGCTGGTAGTAGACCTTGGTGTTATCCATGCTGTGCTGGTTTTTAGACATACAGGATGCAAGAGTTATGGGGTCACAGAGGCTTCCATGAAGATTTCAAAAGAAATCCTGGGAGGGCGAGCAGCATGGCTCTGGGAGGGCAGCATGTAAAACTGTGAAAGTGAAACCAAAAGCAGAAGTATTGATTTTCTGAGGTTACTGTAAATACTTACTACAAACTTGGTAGCTTAAGACAACAGAAATTTATTTTCACACTTCTAGAGGCTGGAAGTCTGAAATCTCACAAGACCATACTCACTCCAGGGTCTCTAGAGGAAAAATGGTTTCTTACCTCTTTCAGCTTCTGGGTGCTGTCCTAGCATTCCTGGGCTTATAGTCTCATCACTTTGTGCCTTCATCTTCACATTATCTTCCCTGCACAACCATCAAATCTCCTTCTACCTTACTCCTATAAGGACTCTTATCATTGGATTTAAGGCATACCAAATTAATTCAGGATAAAGCCCTCCTCTCAAAACCCTTAACTTACTTAATCCAATATTTTGCCATTCACAGTAATAGTAACAGGTTTCAGGGATTGGGAAGTGGAAATATCTCCTGAGAGAGCTACCATTCAGCCCACTGTCTAAATTATTGCTATGCTCTGAACCTCATCATGTAGGACTTCTACTTTCCAAGCCTCTTATAAAGCATGAAATTAAGAGGCTCATAGAGAAGAAGAAATCCAATATTCCCATAAAGTAATTATGGTTTTAGTTCTTTTTGTGTGTGTGTGACTCATTTTTTTTTATTCTTAAGTTCTTTTATTGGTACATTTTATCAGAGTGCCTTTTTTCTTAATTTACCTACTGATAAATTATCTATTGATTCTTTTCCCTAGAGGACAAATTAATGGGCCAGAATGTGAGATGTTAGAGACAATACACAACATTTTTTTACAAAATATCTTAAGGATAATAATTTAACTCACCTCCAATGAAGACAATGAATATTATATCTAATTTACAAAGAAAGAATGGACACAACTTTTATAAATGAAAAACTAGAGATATAATACATGATACAGAAACATAATGCATATGTTATGCCACAAATATATAGGAAGAATATATAATATACTGACAGAATATCAAGAATATCAAGTAAAGATGAATTTCTTAACAACA